TTTGGATTCCTCCTCAGTAAATACTCCCAGAGGCACTTACAACCCAAAGTTCTTCATTTCTATTTATTGTGATGTCGGGCTAGATTATCACAACAGATACTACAGACTTGAAGATCTATAAATGAAAGAGTATTTTAGAAACTATTTCTTTTAATGTTTGTCATATCACTGACATTAACCTCTCTTTCAAGGCAAGATCCCTTCTGCTGAACTTCTGATGACATTTCTAGACTCTTCAAGCCTCTGTACTAGTTTAGTATTGTCACATAACTTACTTTTTTCGTTTAGACTATATCACGATCCTGCAAAGGCCCTTGGACTCATGACACTATCTTCAGACCATGTAAAACTCAGAATGAAAACTTCAGCGTCATCTTCAGAGTAGCTCAACTGCATCTGAATTTCATYTCCTTACAAATTGTTACCACTAATTGAAACTGTTAAGAAGCAAATATTGGAATTGCTGTCATCCACCACACTTTGAAAGGTACCTGTCAGCACTACAAACTGCCATTTATAATCATCACTTCTGTCACTTTTTACTGAGTATTTTAAGATCCTATTTCTTTTTTTACCTAAGTACACACTCGATTTAATAGGCAGGGAAGAAACAACTAGGCAGGTAGCTGAAAATCCTGCATACTCTTCTTTCATAGGGCTTGCTATAAAAATGGCTCTGCTTATTTAGGAGAGCTGTTTCTTTGCTTATCTCCATCTGAACTCAACATGTGCAACTTCTCTACATATAAAAGGACAAATTTGGGCAATTCACCTTCCAGGCAACAGTGCAGATGCCAAGGTATCCAATTCTTCCCATTTAAATAGTCCCACCTCCTGTACATGGAAACTAGGTGTTGCGTTTTGTTCATTGTACTATATTCAGACCACTAGACTCAACAGCTTCAAGCAGAAATCCTTGGCCTCTCCTACCCCAGTTGACTTCTGCCTTGGCCACACACATTCATGGAAAACCTTGACCTAGCTCAAAGACTGGAACTGGCTGCAAAGTGTTCTCTTTTACAAGAGATACTTTTAACAAATAGAAAGTTTTAGAAACTATTCAAAATGTAATTTGTTATAAGCACCTTTTCTTTATTACTCAAAATGTAATTTGTTATAAGCACCTTTTCTTTAAGTATGTTATAATTTGAAAACTTCCTTTATATCCATTTTAAGAGAATGACGCACAGACAATAGAAGTACTTCTCAATATTTAACTATAACTAGCTAAACTGTAATGCTAACAATATTAAACATTAATAAACTATTAATAAGCTTCTTTTCAAACAGTTGAGACTGATAAAATAACAAAGATTCTTCACCATCACATCATGAACAAAGTACATGAGAACAATGATAAAAATGAAAAAAAAMCCACAAATGTTCACATGAAACACTAAATCACAACTACCAAGCGTTAATAAATATATGCCTTTATGATAGGCTTAACTCTGACTCTGGAATTTATATGAGAAAATGTAGACCTTATTATGTATTTTCCTAGGAGAGACTTTRAAATGGAAAAGAAAATATGAGTTAATATTAGTATCTGCTGACAGAACGTTTATAACTTTTTTAAACCACTGGGCTAAAAACTTAAGAGAACAAGCTGTAAAATTAAACTCACAACATATTGCTATGGAGACTGACCAACATATTATTCAAAGATAGCATAAATTCAAAGAATACTACAATTGTGTTACACTTCAACATATTTCACTTACTAATAAGTATTAATTATATTGTCAACTGCCTCCCTATGAAATAGCTAGTTATTTGGGCTCATTAAGAATAATGAATTTGCTGAATCTTCTGGACTCCAGTCACTGTTGGGGAACTATTCTTTTCCTACAGGATCCTACCGAAATGCCCATAGCCCTAATTCTGACAGAGATGAGATGGCAGAGATGRAAGTGCTCTCCTCCACAATACGGAATCATGTAGTTCCAACAAGTACACAGGAGATTAAGTTCTGTCTGTGGCACGTGAGTGCAGAATTAGGGAGAAAAAAAAGTGTTTTATGGACTTCTATGAAATTTTCAACAGCACCAAGTTAMCCTTGCTGCAAGAATTTTGGGCTACTGTTATATTACACCTAAAGGGCTGAGCTCTTAGTTGGAGTCAACTTTTAATTTGCTTCTTGAACTTCAGTTCCACTCTAAGCTGAAGTAACTTTTATTCACACTTTAACAGTTTTTTTATAAATGTGTACTGGAAGTTCTGCAATTGGAAATATTTTAAAAGAGTGTGTTGTAAGAAGAGTTGGCTCCCACAGGACATTTCTGGAACAACTAGAATTGTCGCAGCCTGGTCTGCTCTTGAAAAGAGCATTACTTCCTTGTGTTTTAATACAAACTTCAAGGGAAAGTTCATATTCCTGAACTTTGGCAGAAAGTACACACACACACACACACACACACAAAAAAATCTAAAAGGCTGAAAAATAGCATTTCTCTCCTACATAGTGGCAGGCTGCTAAAGGGCTTTAGAGCTCCACAGTTCCAGGGCTCTCTGCAAACATCACTGAGTTGTAATGAATTACACATCAGAGAACCAGAATCTGAAAAGCATGTCCATTTTGATCACTTAAAAATAATAATAGAGAGAGAGAGAGAGAAGGAAAAAAAAATTCTCAATACCTATCATTTTCCCTTGTAGTCTCAGCGTAGTTTTGGCAAGCCTGAAAAATAGTTGGTTCGATACATGGATATTTGTACCGAAGGCTCCATTTTTATCTAAGACTTGGGAAGCATAAAATAAAAATATTYTTTTWWAAAAAAGGCATAAAAGTTACCCTTTTCTCCCACAGACAACTTTTTTTCAACTTTTCCTTTTAATAAATGCTACATCTATACATAATAATGAAATCTATASCTACACTCCTAAACACAACCATACTTTGACAAAAGGAAAAATATTTCATTTGCAGCTTTCTTTCTAGATAGAAGGGAGGAGGAGTAACTAAGGCTTTCACTGATAAATTAGCATGCATATTCTTTCCTCTGAAAACACTTGGTGATTTCTTTCATACCTGAGGTACAATATGTTCATTAGGAAACATCCTSAGGATGCACAGCTGCACTGGCATAATTTCCATCAATGCTTTTGGAAGAAAAAAATATTACCATAATATGCTGAGATTTTAAAAGACACAGATTAAGATGAGCATAATCAGTAGTGCTTCTAACTGGGATAGCGCAGCAGCCCTCTGAGGATGAGGGATGAGCAGAGATCAACACGCTTCACAGAGACTGATAAATGATCACTCCGTGCAGGGGGTGGGGGGGAGGTCCTAGATGCAAATGGAGGTTTTTTTAATGTTTAATGGAATATTTACCACTTCTCATACTACRCATCTGCTATATCTTCCTGGAATGATAATTTTGCTTATTGTTAGAAAGGAAGCCAGGTCCCCCTTCAACGCTGCCTGGTGAGTGTTYGGAAAGTATAACCTGTGGAATGGAGCATGTTACCTGTGAATTATTAAAAGATGAAAGAGCTGACAGCTTTTTGCTGCATGTTGATGGACCTACTAAGGCAGTACCAAGCTGTATATTCCAGGCTCCAGGCACCTGTCCGGTAACTTCCTCCAAAGGGACACCTCTATGATCCATAGGGACTTCGGCAGCTCCTTGGCTCCCTTCCCCTTCCCCCTCAGCCCCTCACTCCGGCTGTGCGGGGCACGGCGGAAAAGTGAAAACGCTCCGAGACGGTGGGAATAACTCGGAGCCCAGGGCAGCTCCGGAGCTGCCTGCAAAGCGGCTGCCGAAGCCGAGGCTGCTCTTCCCGCGGAGCGGAGCGGAGCGCCCCGGCTCGCGCGCGCTGCAGCCGCCCCCGGGACGGTCCCCCCGCGCAGGGATGGGGCTCCCCTGCGCCCGGCGCAAAGTTTCACTACGCGGGGCCCGAGCAATTCCTTCCCCCCCCCCCCCTTTTTTTTTCCCTTTCCCTTTTCTCCTTTTTCCCTCCTTTTTTAAGTTCCCGCCGCCGCCGGCCCTGCCCCGGCCGCACTCACCCGCTGCCCAGGCGCACGGTGAGCAGCAGCAGCAGCAGCCGGGCCCCACAGCGGCAGCGGCGGCTCCACAGGGGCGCCGGGCCCCCCCACGGGTCCATGCGCTCCCTCCGCGCCCACTTTCCTGCGGCGAGGCTGGGGAATAGCGACCCTGCCGCTCCCGGCGTGTCCCCCCGGCGCGCGGGAGGCAGCGAGAGGGGAGGGCAAGGCAAGGGAGGAATGAATAAATAAATAAATAAATAAATAAATAAGACACCCAAACAGGTAGGAACGCGCTCGGCAAGGACCGCGCAGCTGGGCCAATAGGCTCATCAGGTTGCTCCATAAATTATCCTAAAAACGTCCAGGCGAATCAAGCCCCAGCGGAGGAGGAGCCTCGCTTACTAGAAGGGGAAACATGCTTGGGAGAAAGGGCGGCATTTATTTATTTGTGTGTGTGTGTGTGTGTGTTTTTCCTCCCCCTCCAAAGAGCAAAATAAAATGGATTTCATATATATAAAAATATACGTGCAAAGCTGCTCGTGTGTGTATATATATATGTGTGTGTGTGTGTGTGTGTGTGTGTATCATACAGATTTGAGGCGCCTCCGAAGGCAGCCTGGAGGCGCGGGCACCGCGAGCGCGGAGGAGGCGCGCGGGGGCTGCGCGCGCGGCCGCGCTGGGATGGGGGCGGCACCGGCGCGGAGGAGCCGCCGGCAGCCGCGGAGGAGCCGCGGGCAGAGAGGAACAACCGCGGGCAGCAGCGCTGCTCTGCGCGCCGCTTCCGCCGCCGCGGCGCCTCCGCGCGAGGGCGGCGGGCGCGCAGCGGGACGGGCGATACGCGCCCCCGCGGCCGCGCAAGCGAAATGGTTAAAAAAAAAAAAAAGCGCATTTTGTCCTTTTTTTTTTTTCTCTTTTTTTTTTTTTTTTTTTTTTTAATTCCCTCGGATTTTTCCAAGCGCTTCGCTCAGCGCTCGAGTAAAGGTCACTTCCTCGCGCTGCTGCCCTTTGCGGGACGCTCCGGAGCCTGTCCCCCGCTGGCTGCTCTCCAAGGGGCAGCTCGGCAGTAACAGGCTGCACCAGGTCACCAGGAGGCAGGAGGAACAGCCGTTTCATCATCATCGCCGTCCTCGTTATCCTCCCGGACAAACCGAACTGCGCTGCAATTTAACTACCCTCCCAATCAGCGATTGTTACACTGGAAGATTGTTTTGGGTTCTCCTGCTCCTTTGCATGTCATCATTTGATTGCTATTTAGAATACACAGCTTACAGCTGCTTTAACAGTTAATAAAAAAATTCACCACGCTTCGGAGAGCTGCAGTGCATTAAGTGAAAATTCAGCGACTTGAAAATTAATAGCCAGTCCTCGGGGTACTGGCAGAAGGGAAAGGCACATATCACTGTGCGACCCGAGGTCTCGTTATTGGTGRATTAACACAGCAGGCAGCATCCTAGCGCGATGACAGAGGCAGGAGCTCGGGGGGAGAACGTGCATTTATTAGGGAGTGAGTAGAGAAGCGGCTCTTCCGCGGTGCTGGGAGCACCGACTCCAAGAGGTGGCTTCGCTGCCCCCCTTCAGCAAGGGGCAAGCAGCCCCTCTCCGAGTCCTTTCCCTCTGGGAGTCCTTGTGCCCTGGCAATAGCCAAGCTCCTWAGGGTCACTGTGGATCTGTCCATCAGATTGACTGCATTTTGCAAAATACGCAAGGAAGGCATCTTGGGTCTTGGCRTTCTAATTGATAGGGAACCACTAAGGCTCTTGCTAATGCATAAAATTTTATCCTTCTCATTAAAATACATCGTATACTTAGTGTGACTATTAAGGAAGTTTGACATGAGAAGTTCAAGGTACTTAGAGGAATGGAAGGCAACTTCTTTCTACCTGAGCAGTCTGGAACATTAATTTAAAACACTAGTATTTTCACCCSTATGTAGGAGGCTGAGCTTGGAGCACTGTAGAAGGTGGAGGATTACAGCTAAAATAGTGCATAGCATGGACAGTGAGCACGTAAAATGAACATAGGCTTGGAAGAGGTTTCACTTTCGCCTGGTTTCTGGCCTTGGAATGGTACATAAAGGTGCCATTAAAAATAATTGAACATAAAATCAACATCAATGGTGCTACTCAAATGATACAAAACCAAAGATGGTATCTTCTGTATCTGCTACCAGGACAAACTGTTTTCAGATAACACTAGATCTGCTGGGTTTTGTTTGTTTATTTGTTTTTTCCTTCAATTTAACCATCAGAAATTAATCTTAGAAAGAAGAAGAGAATATTCTATGAGTAAGTAAAATATTTTATAAAATTTAGATATAAAAATTTGAAGAGCAAACAAAAATAGTAACGCAAAAAAAATCTTTAAGATTATCAGAAAAAGAAACCTGTGGGAGCAGAGGGAGAGTTTCTGGAAACRCAGGGAACAAAAGCAGCACTCAAGGAAAATTGCAAGAGGGGAGAGAAAATACTGAAGGAAAACTGGGAAAGTTACCTTAACACAGATGAGCATCAAAAGAAAGAGAGGCTGAAGCTCAATAATACACTAAAGAAAGGTGAGTTGCCAAAGCTGACTGGAGCTCATCAGCCACATGATATTGGAGCAGCTGATATAAACCAATAGTCAAATTCTCACTAAAATCATCATCTCCAGCTGAGGGTGGGAGGGCTGTGCATTTACCTTTACCAAAAAAACAGCGTTGGAGAAAGGGGTCAACAGTGGAAATTCAGGCCTTCAGGAAAGGCAAAATGAACAGAGTTAATGCACGAGTCAAATTGTAGGATTTAGATCATTATTATTGGAGACATCATCCAGAGTGGATTCTGCAAAGGAAAACCAATGTCTCTCTCATCTAACTCCTTCAGTCATATTTAATGAATCTGTGAATAGAAGAAGAGTGCTGCATAATTTAAGATCTTTCAAGAACTTTTTAAGTCTATTGGTTAATTGTTAAAGGAGCTGTATAGCTAATGGGCAAGCAGGACGGCAATGCCATCTTCTAGAAACTGCTTGGACTACTGTCAGAGTGGTCRGCTTGCATGGGGGTTGGGATGATTTTATTTCATTGATTTCCTTTTGATGCATTGTTTTAGAGAAAATAAACAGCAAAATTTGCAGACTAAAGTTTTAGTTGAGATTCCATAAAAAAAATACTGATAAGTTCATTGGAACTTAGAAAAGTAACTGTAAAATGGAAAGTGATGTCATATGGGCAAATACCTTGTGGCCTACTGATTTTCCAGAAAAAGCAAGCTAGCTCAAGGATTGAACTTAGTAAACATTCTATGTACCTAGGTATGAACCTGCAGCCCAGCTCTTTGCTCTGCTGCTACTTAATACCACAAAGTCAAGAGGAAACACATTTTTTAACTCTTTATTCTCTTTAATTATTTATTTTTTAGAGCAGAACCCCTAAAGGCACTCAGAAGAGCAAGTGCATCTGAGCAATCCTGCCTGAGCTCATCTCATTCATCCACCTTCAGTCTTTGCAGAGTGATAAAATAGGATAAGGCTCCTCACAAAGCACTGTAAAAGTCCTTTAAAATCACAGTCAGGGTAAGTGGCCCCTTTCCTAACTTTTAAAAAGAATGAAAATTGATTTGGATTCCATGCAAAGACACCATCCTAATTTTCTGGCATTGTAAAGGGAGTAAAGACACTTTGCCCAAGCTTGTAATTTCCAGTGTGCATGCCAGCTATTCAACTCTTAGGTACCTACAGTTTATAATGCTTTTAAAATGAGTCAAGAAAGATATTTTCATGCTTAAAGCCCAAGTCAAAACAGGAGGAGGAAAGTAAAAAGAAAAATAGTTAACAGCCCTGTATTTTGCACCAGGGAACCTTCACCCCTTGAATTGAAAAGCATTTTGGCCCTTTGAAATTTAATCGCTGAAGATCTCAGCAGAACCTAAAAACACCTGTATGTAATCTTCTGTAGCTGACATCACACATCTGCTGTATTTCTCTGGGACTTTYTGATGGGAAGATGTGAAACTTGATGGCAGGTTTGAGTGCCTACATACCACTTCCAGTGCATAAAGAGTTCTGAAAATCCAGCCTGGATGGGCTGGCATCTTCACTCGCTGTGCTTGAGGGAAGTTAGTGGTCCTTATTCCTGCAGTATATGTAAGCAGCAGTAATCCTCCTGAATTGTCCTTCAGTGCCAGGAGAGGGAAAAGATTACCATGTTACATTCTCAACCCCAAAATATACATATATATGCACAATAACAGAAGCTCAGGTACCATTGCAACACATTCCTGGTGAAGTTATATATGCTAATCCTAACTGTGAACGTACAGAGCAATTTCCCAAGTGTATCCTTGATAGCAAAGAGTGTGCACGTATGATTTATGCAGCTTACATACATCTGCTCAAACTCAAGTAAGCACAAATGCAAGTGCACTGTCACATGCACTAGATTTTGAAACTGCAGCCCATAGATAAAAATAGACCAAATGAAGACTTGGGTTCTTCTTAATTAAATTCAGAAAAAAAAAAAGAGAGAGAGAAAAAAAATAGGTTCAAATACACAACAAGACTCTCCTGCTTTATCCTACTTGAATGTTTACTCTTTAATGAAGTTCAAGATAGATATTATAAACAAGATAGATATTATAAACAGCACAGTAGCCTACTGTTACAATAGCTATAGAAAACATCTAAAGAAGAAAGAAAATAAACACAAATATTTGGGCACTTGCTTTTTAAAGCATACCTTTAAGGGTGAGGTTGGTGGATCTCCAAGAAAGAGGAATAGCAAGATGCAGAAAAATCACTTCAGCGCAGCTTTCATAGTATGATTAAAATCGCAAAATAGATGCACTTAATGAAACAGTCAACATCTTAATAGAAAATAAATTATAAAACTCTCACTTCCCATAGCTAAATACCATTTTAATTAAGATTTCATCTCCGATACATTGATTTAACTGCTCACTCACTTATGTTATTCATTAAAATGATTACTAACAGTATGACTTTAGCAGCACTTAAAAATTAAATGAGAGAAATAATCTCCAGTAGAGAATGATGGATGTGAGAAGGAGAAAACTAAMCTCATCTTCAGATTCAGGGGAGTGAGGAAGGGCTAGAACATATAAGACAATACTCCTTTATACCTGTAAGGGCCCATGTTGCCCTTCTCCTTTTATTCCATGATGAAATGAAAAACAAATCAAAGTATAAGGAGACACAGGATAAGTAAGCTGATGTGCTTAAGAACAGGGAGGTGACTTAAAATCATGAGAATTTCCTTGGCCTATAGTTATTGTTATTGCCTTTCAGTATACTTTGGACTGTTTTCAAACCAAGGCAGAAAATGGAAAGCAAATACTTTCTCACTCCACTCTCTTTTTAGGGCACAAATCTACAGCCTGTCCTTCTTTTTCTCCCTAAGAGCACAAATTGTCCTCCACCTCTCCCTCACCTTTCAGGCCACAGCACAGAAAATGGAATCCAGGGTCCTGGATTTCTCAGGACATCCAGGAAGTGCCACACACGGCACTTGTGAGGCACGTGAGTGCCAAGGCAAGGCAAGGTGGCTTATCCAGGACTGGGGCACCAAGATATGCAGAGCACGGTCTTTGGAAGGCAAATCCAGCTTGGGCTACTTCAGTATCACATGCAGGAGGTGAACAGCGGTTTAGGTGCCTCTCCAGTCTATGCTGTGCTTCCCCTGGCAAGGATATGATACAGTTCATCCCAGTGAGCCACAGCTGTACGAACATAAGGACAAGTCACCTACACTAGCACTTTATCACTTCAACTGCTGGGGACCCCACTTTCAAAGTGAACTTGCCAGTCATCACCACTGCAGCTTCACGGTCATCACAGAGAGGCCTTGGAGCACACAAAGATGTTCAGCATCTTTTGGGAGGTAACTAAACCAGAATATGCCGGGAGTCTAATTCCTAGCGCTAGTCCGAAGGAAAACTACCCCATAACACACAAGCCGTGGATGCTGGGTCCTCGTTACCAGCTCTTTCTGAGAACCTGCTTCTATTGCTCCACCCTGTTTTGTGGGTTGTGCCAAGGCACACAAGGCCACATRGAACTATCAGAGGACTAAGACCCCGGCATGAACTGTGGCAAATCACCTTGCCAATATAGGTGCTCTCATA